GCATCTACCAGTTGGCTCCCTTTTGATCTCTATAACTGCATAGGGTAAAATATTGGTAATAATAAAAGGCCCCTCCCATTTAAAGCAGAGCTTTCTAGGTATAAGTTTTAATCTGAAGATAAAAAGTAACACTTTTTAGCCCATATGAAATTATTTTCTCACTATAAGCTTATCATGAATAGCCTTAGTTCTCTCTTTCTAAATCCTAGCATTCTTATAGGCTTCTCTTCTTATCTCCTCAAGCTCTTGCAATTTCAACTTCCTTTCAACTTCAGCATAAGTAAAATCTAGGTTGCACTGTTTAACTACCCAATAAACCTAATGACCCACCTTTGCTGGCAAGTGACATGCTTTCCCAAACATAATCTGATATGGAGACATTCCAATAGGACTCTTATATGTCATGCAATATGCCTAAAGTTTATCATCTAGTCTTTTACTTCAATCTTTTCTGTTGGATTGCATCATCTTTAATAAAGTGAGCTTGATTTCTCTATTTGAGATCTCTGCTTGGCCATTTGTTTTAGGTGATATGGAGTTGTCACTTTATGCATCACGCCATACTTGGCTAGCAAGCTCTGCATACTCCTATTACAAAAATTAATGCCTTGATCATTGATGATAGCTCTTGGGATACCAAGCCTATAAAGAATATGAGGCTTGACAAAGGATACCACTACAGAAGAGTCATCAGTACGAGTAGGAATTGCTCAACTCACTTAGACACATAATTTACAGCTAGCAAAATGTAAAGATAACTAAATGAAATAAAGAAAGGTACCATAAAATCTAAACCCTAAACATAAAAAATTTCAAAAATATAAGGGGTTGTTAAGGCATCTCTTTCTTTCTTGAAATATTACCCATAAATTGACATCTTGAACATTTTTTACAAAATATATAGGCATCATGAAATAAGGTAAGCAAAAATAATCCACTATCCAATACTTTCCTCGTAGTACGCTTAGTGCTAAAATGCCCCCTACATGTAAGAGTATGGAAAAAAGGCAAAACAGACACAAATTCATTATCAAGAATGCACTGCCTAATAATTTGGTCACTACAAATGTGCTACAAGTAAGGGTCATCTAGTATATTGGATTTAGCCTCACTTCTAAATTTATCTAATTGATGCTTATTCATATTAGCAAGTAAAATAGAAGCAGGTAGGTAGTTAGCAATATCAGCATACTAAGGAATAGACATACTAACCATACAAAGCCTATCATTAGGAAAATCATCTAAGGGTAAAGAAGATGTTATCACAAGTATTTCAATCCTGCTCAATTGATCAGCTACCATATTCTCTACACTGCTCTTATCACGGAACTCTACATCAAACTCTTGTATCAACACTACCTATCAAATTAGGCAAGTTTTAAAGTCTGGCTTTTTTAATAAGTACTTGATAGCTAAATGGTCAGTGAAGACAATCAACTTAGTGTGAAAGATATAAGACCAAATTTCTCTAACCAAAAGACTATTGTAAAGAGCTCTTTCTCCATGGTAGTATTATTAGCCTGAGTAGCATCTAATGTTTGTAATGTATAGGCTATGACATGTTTTTTCTCCACTCTTTGGGCAAGAAACTGCACCCAATGCAAAGTTTGAAGCATCACATTGGAGCTCAAATAGAAGGCTCCAATTTGGTGGTCGAATGATAAGAGGTATAGTGAGTCTCTTCTTCAATTCATCCCAAGCACACTTGCAAGAATCGTCAAAAACAAAACTCACATCTTTTTATAGCAAATGAGATAGTGGCAATGCTATCTTACTAAAATCTTGAATGAATCTCCTATAAAAGCCAGCATACCTAAGAAAAGAAAGCACATCTTTCACACAAATAGGATATGGAAGAGATGAAATAATATCAACCTTAGCTTTATCTACCTCAATGCCATCATATAAAACATGTCCGAACACAATTCCTTTCCAAACTATGAAATGACATTTCTTAAAATTTAACATAGATTGTATTGAATGCATCTTTTCAAAACCCTGTCCAAATTAGCTAAGCATGCTTTAAAAGAATCACCATAAATAGTGAAATCATCCATAAATATCTTCATGCAATGCTTAAGAAAATTAAAAAAATATAGAAACCGTGCAATGCTAAAAAGTTTCTAGTGCATCACACTGGCCAAATGGCTTGCATCTATATTCAAATGTTCTAAAAGGACATGTGAAAGTGGTCTTATCCTGATCCTTAAGTGCAATACAAATATGAAAATATCCAGAAAAACCATCTAAAAGGCAATAATAGGATCTACTAACAAGCCTCTTAAACATCTAATTAATAAAAGGAACAGGGTAATGATATTTTCTAATCTCAAAATTCAATTTTCTATAGTTATGCAAACTTTTTGGTTATTCTGGACTCTAGTTGAAACTAACTCACCCTCATCATTATGGATAACAATAATACCAGTCTTTTTAGAGACTACCTGAATAGGACTAACCTAATGATTATCAGAAATAGGGTAGATAGTACTTGTAGAAAGAAGTTTAGAAACTTTTTTCTTTACCACATTAAGAATCAATGAGTTGAGTCATCTCTGTGGCTATCGCACAACTTTGGCACTATCTTCTAACAAAATACAGTGTATGCATACATCAGGGCTAATCCCAGGGATATCAAAAGAGTCTATCCAATAGCTTTCATCCTTCACTTAAGCACCTCTATGAGGTGCATTTCCTCCTCAATGGCTATGTCACTAGCTTTAATCACTGGTGGCTTCTCCCAAATAAACATACTTCAGTGAGTTAGGAAATGGTTTTAACTCTAAGGAAGGAACTTGCTCACTTAAAAGTATAAGTGACTTTAGATCAATGTCAGTCAAACTAGAAACTTGCATTGAAGACTTAAAAATAAAAAAGGAGACTTTTCTAACTTGGGAATCATAAGTGGATATAGTGATAGTAGAAGAATCAGGAATTACATCATAATCCATTAAAATAGTGCCATCAGTAGCACTCATCTCAAAAACAACATCAAAATTAGAATTATCAACATCAGAAACATGATCAATACTAATTAACAACTTAGAATCTAGTAATAAAGATGAATCAACTTTATCCATAGCATTAATCACACTAAATAACTGAGAAAATCCATTTGAATTAATAAATATGGTAGATAAACAATCAACAGAACCATTATTGCTAGGAACAGGCATATATACATTTTTTCTTAAATGTCTAGCAACCTCAATAAAATTAGTAAAAACATCAATGTCAGCAAGATCTATATCAGTGCAAGCAATCACAACCATTACTTTTAAAATATGAACAAGAGATAGAATTATCTAAACTAGCAATATCAAATGATCTACTTAGCATGCTATCTTTAAAATTCACAAAAGCATCATTGATAAGAATACGCACAATGCTAACTTTTATCTCAACACAATCATTAGGTGGGTGTCTTATAGAATCAAGTATATCAAATCTAATGGTATTACTAGAAAATTCCATAATTAAACTACCAATATCCACATTTATTATAGCCTTAGCAATTATAAGGAGAGGCCTACCCAAGATCAAGGATGAATGTCCCTTTTGCCTAAATCTACTATCATCTATATCAAGAATATAAAAGTCTGCAAGGAACATGAGATATTTTACCATAACCAAGACATCTTCCAAGACTCTTTTTAGGACTGCACAACGTCTATTAGTAAGGGAGGCAAGCAAATTTGTGGGCTTGAGATTCACACCTTGAAGTTGAGAGAAGACTGATTTGGGCATAACATTGATAGCTTCTCCTAAATTAGCTAGAGCATCTAAAAACTCTGTGTCACCAGTGGTATAAGAAAACTACCATGATCCTTACTTCACTGGTATTGGCATTTGATAGGGAGAAGAGACAACTATTCTTAAGTCAACCTTGCCTTCATTCTTGAATCTTCTTTTTGTGGTGTATAACTCATTCAGAAACTTTGCATACTTAGGCACTTGTGCAACCAGGTCAACTAATGGAACATTAATCATCACCTTCTTGAAGATGTCAAAGACCTCCTTAAATATCTCAGCTTCCTTTCTCCTTTTCTTAGCCTTGGCTACCCATCAAGAAAGTGTAGCTTGCTCATATTCTTATTTTCTTTATCTTTTTCTTGCTTTTCTTGTGGTGCCACTTTTTTTTGATAAAATACGCTCTTCTTGTGATGTAGAGGAAGGAGTATCATCAATAGTAGCCTCCTTTCTATTAGAAGCACAGGTGGCAACAAGATCTAAAAAAGTGACTATTTTTCACTTTTAAGGGATATAGCATTAACTTTGCCAATATTAAGATTCTGCTGGGTCTCAATACTAGGATTGACCACTACTTGAGAGGGCAACCTTCCTGAACCTTGACTCTGCATATCATTAACTTTCTTGGCTAATTTCCTAAATTAGGTATGAAGATTTTATATCTCTTACTTATGTTGTAACTCATTCTGTTGCATTTGTTTCTACAATTGTGTGTTGCTCTAATTAGTCCTTTGAAGTTGTTGTTGAATTTTCATATTTCATCCTAAATCTTGCTTCAATATTGCTTTTGCTCTTCGATTCTTAAATAAAAATAGTCTACCTCACCAATTGATTATTAGGATCCATATCATTAAAACCTTGATTCTGATTGCCTCCTCCATATCTCAAAGTAGGATGATCTTTCCATCCCAGGTTGTATGTGTTGGAGAAGGGATTATATTTCTATTATCCTTGTTGCACCAATCTAGGGGAAAAGACTACATTGAAAGGCTTAATTCTATCCTCCAAAAATGGGCAAGCATCAATGGTGTGGGTGGCCAATGAACAAATAAAGCAAAGTGGGCCAACTAGAGCTATAAAGCTAAGTTGTAGGGTAAAAGAGGTAGAAGATCCCATAGAATTAGCCATGTTGGAAGTTCACATTTGCAGTACAACCATCTTTTCCATAGCAAATGCAAGCTTATCTATCTTGCTTTCAAGGTGAGACTCGTGAAGTGAAGAATGTAAACTGACTTTGTTAACTTTTGCTTGTTGTTTAGAACCAAACTACTGGGTATTCTCAACTTTCTTCTCAATCAGTTCCTAAGTAGCATTGATAGTCAAGTGGAAATGAGCACTTCCAGTGGCAAAATCTAATAAATCTCTCAAGAGGCAAGAGGCCTTCATAAAATACTATATTAGTAATGTATCTGGGATTTGGTGGTGTGGACAACTAGATAACAACATCTTAAAGCACTCCCAACACTCATAAAGAGACTCCCCAGATATTTGTTAGTAACTACAGGCATCTTTCCTAATAAAGGAAGTTCGTGATTCTGGGAAATACTTTTCCAAAAATAACTTCTTAGGTTGATTCCATATGGTAATGAATCCAGAGGGTAACCGAAGCAATAATTTTTTTTCAGACCCCTCTAAAGAAAATGGGAAGGTACACATCTTAATTTAATCCTTAGAAACACCATTAGGTCTCATAGTAGTGCAAATTATGTGAAAGTTCTTTAAATGGTTGTATAGATCTTCACTTGCAAGGCCATTAAATTTAGAAGTAAGTGTATCAATGTTAGGATAATTAATACACTAATTTTGAAAATGTAAATCAGGTGAAACCAACTCTTTAATGGTTTGAACAGGAGGAACATTTTGTGCATTTGCATTAACATTCACATTTAATTGATTATCCTATTCCATTTTAACTTTACAATTAGATGAATTAACAAATGGATTAATAGAATAACTACTAGCTATAAGCTATTCAACTTGAATCTTTTTTCGTTGGTAAAATGTGCTCTCAATTTCATGATCAAGTTCAAAAAATTTTTCAAAAGAAGATATAGTCATACACTAAACAAATTCTAAACAGCAAAGAAAAGACTAAGAAGCTCAAAGAGAAATTGAAAAGCAAATTCTAGAATTTTTCAACAAAGTGTAGGAAAAAGAAAGGAAAAAAACACCAAAAAATCCAAATTAAATCATATAACCACCAAAAGCTTTGAAAGAGGTATTAAAAGGAATTAACACATCCAAAGCCTAAAAAAAAAAAACAAAAGAAAGATCAGAAAAATTCAAAAAAGAAAAACTAGAAAAGCTTGGAAAAAAGAAAAAATCAAAGAAAATTTGCAAAAAAGGAAGAAAATTAGAAAGATCACTGAAAACAATTGAATTTTCCAAAAATAACCCACATCTAGTATTAAAAGGTACCAAAATTGATCACCACACCCAAAAACCTTAGGATACCAAAAATCAGAATTTTTTGGGCAAAAATAGAGTAATTTTCAGAATAGGGTATTTAAGTAAAATCAACCAAAATGCAAAATGTAAAAGACCAAAACAAGATAAAAATGCATGAAAATGCAAGTGAAATACATGAAAACACCTAGGAACTCCTAAGGCTAACCATTGCTCCCCGCAATGGTGCAAAAATTGATAAATCTACCTTAGTCGTGTTAGCGGTCAATTAAACTAAGATTGACTTAATATAGTATAGGCAAACCCTAAGTCATTCTTTCTAAGGAGCAATTTAGGAGTTATCTTAAGTTTTTTAGGTTTTTAAAAACCAATGCAAAAAAATCTAAAACTAAATGCTAGATTTTTACACTAAAATTCAAATAAGAAAATAGAATTTATGCAACTAAAGCTACCTAAATGGATCTTAATTAGAGCTGGAAATTCTAGTGGGATGAAATTATTTGGATCAAGCTCAATTTAGGCCAGGTTATTTGAATCAAATTTGAAATATCCTACCCTCTTTAAAAAACGTATATAACCAAGCCCAACCCTAACGGGGTCGGGTTCAATTTGGATTGGATTTAAAGTATCTTATCTTTTTAAAAATGCCCATAAAGCCAAGCCTAACCTTAACTTTTTTGGGTGGGTTCAGGTTGGCTCCTCAGGCTTGACGTGAATTACTAGCTCTGTAATGCTTATGTTACCTAAATGCTATTATACAGTGTATGAGTCCTAAATTATGAAGGGGTTTTTTTGTAAAGAAAAATGAAACATAAAATGAAGAAATTAATTAAGTGAACAAAGGATAAATTAAACAAAAATTAAGAAAATTTTGATTTAATTCTGATAAATGAGACAACTTAGGACTTCACATAGAGTTAGCTTTCCTAGCCCAATTCAAATAGTTAGACCAAAGGGGAATGAAGGGAGAGTGAAATTAATAAATTCAGTTACTTAATTAAAGCAAAGGAAACTTACAAGCACAAAGTCTAATACTTAATCCACTAGACAACTTATAGTAAACCAAATGCTACAACTATGAATTAGGCAAATTAAATTCATCAAAACCAATGATGATAAATTCAAAATAATTTTGAAAAATATGTTTAACTTATCTAATTAAATAATTAGACAAATTACCAACTCAATTAAAAAATCAAGAGGTAAAAGAAACAACCCAAATTCACAACAAACATTACAATGACAATTAAATCAACAATGAGAACTCAATTATTAATTTAATTGGCAAAGCAAGGGTGTATAACATAAATTTCAGAAATTCATCATTAAACAAAAAATCAATCCGATCAAAGATTTAAAAAATTTACAACCTAAAAATAGATTATCTTCCAACATTACAACTTATGATCATTTAAAACTAAATAATCCTAAACTCTTGGATTAAAAAGATAAATAAAAAATGACTCCCTGATAGTCTTTAAGAGCAAATCTTAAGCTCTAGTTTCCTCCATACTCATCCCAAGTTGTATCCCAAGCTAGCTTAACCTCCCATGGATGGTGATCTTCCTCCAAACTCCATCTTAGTCACAGCAGTAAGTTGTGCGAATGAACGGATGGTGTAGTGGTGAGGTAACGCAGTGAATGGAAGTGATGATGGTGGAATTGTTTTTTTTTTAATTGAATATGGGAATTGCTTAAAGCAAGGTGTGCGTGTGGCCTTGAAGGATTAAATTTGAGAGAAAGAAGATGGTGGTGATGTGACAAGGTCTTTAGAATGCACTTGAAGAATGAAGTGAAAGATAGAGAAAATGACAAAATGTGCTCTTGTTGAATGGAGGAGACGGATGCTGGACATGATGATTGTGGACGCAGAAAGAAAATAAAAACCGACAGAGAGAGCTTAATCCATTCTTTCCTGGCGGCTGAGAGTGTGAGTGAGAGGAAGAGGGGGTTGGGAACAAATAATCCAATGGCAAGAAAAGAGGGTGGAGGATTTAAGAAAAATTCTAACTATTGAATTCAAAAAGAGCCAATGAAAAAAAATAAAAATAAAAGTGTAAAAGTTTTCAAATTTTCCTTACTTAGAAATGCTCATTGTATCTTTAGTTAACCTTAATAATTCTTTCCTTTTCTTTCGAAACCTGAATCATTGGATGTATCTTAAAACTCAAGAATTAATTTTCATTATTGAATTTTATTAATTGTGCTTTCATAACCTGAAAAGTCAACATAGACCTATATCCAAAATAAATCTCATGCCTCAAAATATTTCCAAGCTAATTTTTTTTTCAGAAAATATAATTTTCCACAAAATGGCCAAAAACTCAAGTAATGTATAATACTTCAAATTAAAATCAATTAAAGATTGGCAAAATTAAACCATGTTAAAAATAGGAAAATAAAATATTCACAATGTAAGCACAAAATTCTTATAATTAATTTAAAAATATATTATTCCTCAAAATTCGTTAATAATCCAAATAATATCTAATAAACCCAAATTAGCTCAAAATTGTCATTAAAATGTATAGAAAATGTGGGATAAAATATATAAAAATTATGATTTATCAGTAATCATCAAATCCCCACACTTGAATATTTTCTTATCCTCAAGTAAAAGAAAATTACTGTACAAAAAGGATAAAAGAAATTGTGAATGTTTCAAGGTTAAGTGCAATTCAAACTTTCAAGAAGTGGATTTAATTGAAACCTTTCCTTCCTTTCAAGAATAATAGCATCAAGGCAATTAATTAAGCAAAGATAAATTTCAATAGGCTGCTCCTCATCAGTCAAGTGTTTTACACTCTACGTTAAAGTGTCTAAAGGTTGTGTTTCACTCAATTCTACCTATTGCAACCCTTCTACCATAAGCTTGTTTATGTCAATCTCCACTAACCTATGCAATTGCACACACCAATCAAAAGGACATTTCAAGGGTTCAAATGTTTAAGATAGGATAATGAAATGAACTTATTCAATGGGAACAAGCATATCCTCTAGTTAGTGCTAAGAATTTTAGATAAAGATCAAGAAAATTAAAGGAAAGTCTTATTACAAATATCAAATCCACCCCAGCTATTTATAGAAGATATCCACAAGAATCACACATATTTTGTCTTTTTCTTTTTCACAATGAGTCTTCTTTCTTTCTTTTCATATTCATCATTTTTTCAAAATTTCTTACTTTTTTTCTCTTGTATTTTTTTTCAAGATTTTTATCGCTTTCTTTTTTTTTTGAATTTCAAAACTAAATCCTAATTCCTTCCTTTTATTTAATCAATTTCAACACATGGCACTTTCTAAAATAGGAAATGGGAAGAAAAGGGATGGAAGAAAAGTGAATAAATCTTAACAAAGGGCTTATGGTTTTTTTTTTTAAATAAGGCTAAGGCTCAAATGGTTAAAGCAAAGGATTTATGTAAAAATGGATGGGTATTTGGCCAAACTATTTTTACAAATGAATGCCTAAATCATTTTTGTGTATGCAAATAGCCATTACAAGTCTTGATAAAGATTCAAAACAAGTTCTAGAGATAAAATCATAATAAATGTACTCCCTCTTGTAGGAAATGAACATTTATGCTCAAAATTCTCACAAACTTTTTTGTATGTGAGTTGTGTGATAGTTAAATGGCTCTGAAAGTAGCTTCAAAAAGACAGAGTCACTTCCGTTACCATTACTCTTCTTGACACTATTATTGCTGCCACTACTCCTATTTAACACTACTCCTTCTACCACTACTCCCGTTGACATTGAGCATGCATGCCTATTGAACAATCCTCCCAGTACCGCTTTTAGTCCTAGCAATGAAGGTCATTCCACTATTCCCACTGGCATGAATGAGAAAGAGAAAGCTCAAATGTCTAGAACAATTAGGAAAGTTTTGGTGATGATGGAGATGGTGTCTAGGAGGAGATTGGCTTGACTTAAGTATTCCCTGGAATGGAATCCCAAGAGTCAACCAATAAAGGAGAACAAGCATAAATTCAATAGTTACATTGGTATGGTGACTCAACCAAAACTAGGCCTATCAATTAATGACTAGCATGACATTGATGAAGCAGCTAGGGAGTCAATATGGGAACTGATTGAAGTAAAATTAAAATTCTTAGATAATTGATTGTATTGTTGATCAAGCAGCATTTCATATAACTTATACCTTGATTGTGTTATTCAATAGGCGGCATTTCGTATTGATACTACTTGGAAGAAATATGTCTTTCATTCAATAACTAAGGCATATCATAGTTCTGGTACTATGTTGGAACGAAATATATCACATTAGCCAAAACAATTAGTGGTAAGGTTCACAAGCCACTAAGAGCAATTATTAGACAAGATCAATGTGATGCGTTTCTTGCCAACCATCTCAACAATGAGTTCCAGGAATCTAGCCAGTAGAATAAGGATTTGAGGGCCAAAAATAATAATATACCCTGCCTAGCATCTCGCATAGACAATTCAAGCATGAGTAAGAAGAGATGTGTGTGTGTGTGTGTGTGTTAAATTTAATAGTTTTTATTATATTGAATGATATGAAAATATTTTTTGTCACTAGCTTGTTGTCGCGTTGATCCATTACATAGCTCACAAGATTAGGCACAGGAGAGACTTTTGTGTTACATGCCAAGCTTTTCATTCTAGCTCGAACAGACAAAAAGGGCATGATCACTTCTCCACTATTCAAGGACATTGTCGAAAAAGTTGTAAGTATAACCTTTAAATAATTTAATTTAATATTTCCTTACTTAAAAAGCTTATATATTTTTCACAAAGTGCCTTATTAGAGGAAGCCTCCAAGGTGAGCTTTCAAAGAATGAAGATATCTTGGAAAAGGAATTGGGCAACAAGGATCACCCCAGTCATGTTAGAGGTGTTGGCATGGACATCACTAGAAATCAAATTATGGATGAAAGAAGGCTCCATAAGAGGATGTTGATGTTGAGGTTGAGGAGTTGAAAGCACAAGTAGCATAGTAAGAAGAATTTATAGTGATAATAATGAAGGCCCATAGACTTAAGAAGTTAACCCCAGAGACTGGCCATACTTAGAAAGATAGTTGCACCGTAGTCTAGCCTTCTCCTTATCACTTCCCTAAGGTATGTGAATTATTTTAGTTTCTTGATTATATTTCACAATTATTATTTCCTTATTAATTTATTCTTTTTATGTTTAAGGTGAGCCAAGTGTACATTCCAAGCAGATAGCTCATGTAGACATAGAGTTGCTATAAGAATAGTGGACAATATCTTGGGGCAATAAGTTCACTGTGAGCCCGTGCTTGAGGGTTAGTAAAGGCTTATTATCAAGCCTAATGATACCAACTACAAGTGCTCAAACTAAACACAAATTAAAAATTATAGTAAATGCAATTAGCTATTATATTATATGCCCTAAGCAGTCATTTGGTTAGGTAGAGGAAACTCCACAATAAATATGCCATTAATTTATGCTATTTCAAATCAAACTCAAATTATAGTCCATTCAAATTAATCCTAATAATTGATATTAATTAGTGCCTAGTTTAAAGAAAGACCCCAGACAATTAGGTCAGTTATCGAAGATTAGGAAATAACTAACCTCCAAGCTAGTGCTAGTGGATTTCCTCTTCCTTTGCCAATGACAAATCAAAACACACTAGCAAAATATGCATGATTGTCCAAGAACATGGTGGCACGTTCATATTGTTGAATGATGACATGTATTGAAAAGAGGTTGTAAGATCATTGACTTTGACATCATCAATATTGTCTTGACACACAATGAGATTGTCAATAGGTCAGTTAACATTTATATGAGGTATTTAATTACTCTTCTCATTCACATTTCTAGCTGTTGTTTTTATCATATTTACTTTTTGTTAACTTCTTCATTCAGGTACTTGTATGACACCTTTGTCGTCCCTGGTAACCTGGGATTGAGGTTCATGTTTGTCAACTCCCACGAGTTCCCAAGTTTTGAAGCTAGTCAGAAGGATAAGCATTTATAATAGCAATCTCAAACACTGACTATTTACTTCAAGGAAAGATTGATTTCAAAGGGGATGTTGTTTTTATTCCCTATTTGAATAGAAGAGTTACTTGAGTTTATAATGAATTCTATTATCTTTTTGAAATTTCAATTGTAACACATATTGTCAAATTCTCCTAGGAGACACTAGATGCTTATTATAATCGAGACAGTAGATTGATCCTAAAGCTCTCCAAATTTATTTTATTTGGATTCAGTTCCTCATGGAGGGTTCAACTAATTGACCGGATATGATAAAGCTATTTTAATAGGTAACTACATTTAGTAATTAAGATTTTAGTTGTTTTCAAAATTCTACTTCTCTAACATTTTTGTCTTCCTTATATTAGGGCTACAATGCCATATCACGTCGATGCAAACCTTCCTAATAAGAGGTCGCTTAAGGAATACAAGGATGTCATTGAATGGAATGTAATACAGGTATGTTTATTGCCAATTACTCAATTATTTTTCATTTTTCATATCAATAACATATATATTTATTGTTTTTTTCATGTAGTATCCCCGACAAATCGACAATAGCCATGATTGTGACTATTGTGTGATGAGGTATGTTAAGGACATCATCACTTATAAGTAGCCTGCAATCCCTC